GTCTTAGAAGAAAATCTACTAGAATGCTCCTTGGAAGCTAGGATGGTGAGACTTTGGACATATTATCAGGTGGGAGCAGTCAGTGGAAAAGAAAAACATACTTGGCAAAGTAGAGAGTCAGCAGAAAAGAGGAAGATACCCCAAAAGATGGATTCACTCAGTAACTGCAACAGTGAACTCAAACATAACAATTGTGAGGATGGTACAGGACCAGCAATGCTTTATTCGGTCGTACATAAAGTCACTATGAGTCGGAACAGCCTCACTAGTACCTAACAACAACAACATTCCTCAATGTTCCTTAATTTTCTATGTAAAATAGGAGAGGATTGTCTCCTGGGAATATGCGGGTGAGCTTATAAGGTGTTATAAGCATCTTGAGAGGAGTGATGACCCTCTGGAATAGTCATAAGAGGAACAGGGAGAAGGGTTAACTAGGAAGACTAAGGTCTCAAAGGTGACATTGAGAACCCTGTGAAGTTAAGTTTTCCCCATCAGTACTTGACCACTCAGCCCAGGAGCAGAGAAAGCCACGTGAGAGGAAGATCTGCGGATGAAGTTCTCCAGCCATGTCATGAAACCACGTGAATAACAATTAAGATAATAGAATAACAGTATATGGTTTGGGCTGGCTGAAAGGGAGAGCTGGTAGTTTAGGTACCAAAGAGCAGATACAGTGGAAGCAGGAGAATAAAAATGGCCTTCTGCCATGCCTTTATCCCTCTGACTCTGTCTAAATGGTCCTACTTGCTACAGCAACAGTTACTGACAGAAAACCAAAATAAAACAAAACAGAGAGCACAGTATTTTGAAATTCCTTTAACATTTTTCATTAAAGAGACAAATCATCTAAATCATCCCCCAAAAGCCCTTCTAAATTCTAAGGCTAAGAACAAAATTATGGTTAAATGTTTAATTAATGTTTATTATAACTAGCATATTAGTTTTAGAAAGGTCAAATTTATGATACAATGAAGTAATATTTTTAACATTCTGTGAGCCTGCTTTATAGCACATTGGGGCTCACAGTATAATAAATATCTTCTATTATTTTGCAGGACTCTTGTAAGCAAAGCTGCGTAGGGCTGGGAGAATATTGAATTTCAAGTTGAATGAGCTGGCATAAACCTCAGGCAAGTCACTTTATCTTTTAGGGCATCAGTTTTCAGGCTTATAAAATGAAGGGCTTGAAAAAATCTCCCAATTTCCTTCTACGTTAAAAAAAATCATGAGCATGATTTTGACTTTAAGTTACTATAGAGTAAGTAGCCCTGGTGGTGCTGTGGTTAAGCATTTGGCTGTTACCTGAAAGATCAGCAGTTTGAACCCACCAGCCGCTCTGTGGGAGAAAGATGTGGCAGTCTGTATCTGTAAAGATTACAACCTTGGAAACTCCACTGGACAATTCTACTCTATCCGACTGTGTTGTTATGATTTAGAATCAACTCGACAGCAATAGTTTGTTTCATATTGTTCATGGTTCATAGAATTTATAGGCTTTACCCTTTTTCCTTTGCTGTATATTTGTTGTTCCCATTATCAGGAATACAAACCTCAATGACAACACTGTCACTATGGGAAATAGAACCCACTTTATCACAATCTATTTTATGTTGTAATTTCTCCATTCTCTGTCCACATAGACCCGTTGGACGTTTCATTCTCAATGGTTCAGAGATATGAATTCACCATTCTGTGACCATGCGTTTCCAAGGAGATTCCATATTATGTCGCCTAATGGAAACCAGTCCCTGATTTCAGCCTGTGGATGCTCTGCAGCAGCATCCAAACATCTCAATTTAGATTTGTGATGGAGGTTATCAGAAAGCTCATATAAATCATCTTTTGCAATGCCTGAGATGCATAGGCTGACCACTCAGTAGGATAGGCTGGATAACATTGAACAGCATGGTGTGTGGGAAATACTCAAACTACTACATTATTTTTGTCTTCCATTCAGATGTTTCTCCTGTCACTAAAAGAAAAAAACTCAGTAGACTCCATAGCTCATTCATTGGATTAACAGATAGGTGATCATTTTAAGTCACAAACTATACCTTGATTACAAAATTTAAATGTCCAGTTTCAAACAACTAATCGACCCTTTTGTTTTTATTCAAAAGTTGATTTTTCTTCTCATATACTGGGAAGCCTGGAAATCAGGGTCCAAGCAGGGGAGAGGAAAAGAGGAAGAAAGTCAAGAAAAAGACAACCAAGTTCTTCTTATTTGGATGATGACCAATGCTGCCCTAAGGGAGCCTGTCTCGTGCCCTCTTGTCATGTTTTGTTGCCTTGAATGTTAGCTGGGCTATTCTGGCAGCAAATTCTCCTGATATGGCCATGTGACTTGGTCACTCCTCTTCCACCCAACAGCCTCCCATTTTTGTGTCGTTTGACCCCACTCTTTTGGGGGTTCTCTCATCTTCTCCCAGGAGCACTATAGAGCAGAAGAATCTTAGACAGGATGTCTTGAAGGTGACCCCATGTCAATAACCAAAGATTTACTAAAGAATATAGAAGATTAATATAGAGTGTTTCATTGGAACTCCCAGCTTCCATTTAGGATGTAGAACACTGGAAGAATGTCACTCCATTAAGACTCAACAATCCCAAGCCTAGGTATATATGGAAGAGGAGGCAGGAGCACAGACAAAACGCTGTAATCAGTGGGCATTGCTGCACTTTTCACAATAGTTAAAGGGTGAAAACAACCAAAATGCTCATCAAGAAATAAATGGATAAACAAAATGTGGTGTATACACAATTCTACTCAGTCATAAAGAGAAACGAAGTCCTGATGCATGCCACAGCATGGATGAAATTGAAAACATCGTGCTGAGTGAAATAAGTCAATCACAAAAGAACAAAGATAGGCTCTTACCTATATGAAATAAACAAATCTATAGAAACCAAAGATTACTAGTGGTTACCATAGGTGAGAGGGAAGAGAAAACAGGAAGTGTGTCCTTAGAGGACACTATTTATTTTAATGGTGGCAGAATCAATTGGAAAAGGATAGAGAAAATAGGTTTGCATAACCTTAAGAATGGAATCAATGTTACCAAGTTGTATATGTAGAAATTGTTGAGATGGTGTATGTTTATTATGTATATTTTTATCACAACAAAAATTTTTTTTTAAAAACTAAATTTATCTTTTTGTCTTAAAAATGCAGAGGAGGTATTTCCCCCTAATGTTTTAAAACAGAGATCTTTGTTTTTATATGCTATCATGGGTCATTGCTGTGGTGTAACGTGTGCCAGGCTATTTTTTCCTGTCAAGGGAACATTTCTTGGTGCACCATTATCCTTTTACTATATCATTATAGATAAGTCAAGATTTGTGCACTTTACTGCATGTTATGTTGCACCTCAATACAATGGGGTGGTCTTCTGCCAACACTACGAGAGGACACATCACATCAGGTTTCCAGATCCATGCATCTGTGACAGGTTCAGAACTCTGTGTAGATGCTCCCCATGTCACCAGCTCTTGCTTCCCATTTTGCCACTGAGGCAGCTCAGACACCAGTCCTCTATCTTTGCAAGTGCAGGTGTTACACACTAAATTCTCCAAGTCATCCATGAGCCCCCCCCCCCTCATTAGCTCTTGGTGGTGGTGGTGTTAAGTGTCACTGAGTCAGTTTCAACTCATAGCAACCCTGTTAAGCGTCACTGAGTCAGCTATAACTCGTAGGGTTTCCGGGAATACCTGGTGGAGTTGAACTGCCAACCTTGCAGTTAGCAGTCCAGTGCTTATCCTATAGTGCGCAGCTTGAGAGCTTACACACAGCTCAACAAGTTCTCCAAAACAGATATCTTTACAAATTCTCTCCATCTTCACAATTGGACACTTTTAAGAAATATCTTTGATCTGAATGAGAGGCTATGAACCAGCATCATGCATTTACTTTATAATTATTCTCTGCAGCTTGGTCTGGCATCTTATCTGAATATGTAGCATCTATGAGTGAAGAGGACTTGAAACATTTACTTATGAAGATCAAAGAGCACAGCCTCCGATATGGATTACATCTCAATGTCAAGAAAACAAAAATCCTCACCACTGGACCAATAAACAACATTCTTATCAATGGAGAAAAGATTGAAGTTGTCAAGGACTTCATTCTTCTTGGATCAACTATCAACACTCGTGGAAGCAGCAGTCAAGAGATCAGATGACGTAGTGCATTGGGCAAATATGCTGCACAGGAACTTTTTAAAGTATTGAAGAGCAGAGATGTCAGCTTGAGGACTAAGGTGTGCCTGACCCATGCCACGGTATTTTCAATAATCTCATATGGATGTGAAAGCTGAACAGCGAATAAGGAAGATCGTAGAAGAACTGATGCCTTTGAGTTGTGGTGTTGGAAGAGAATACTGAAAGTGCCATGGACTGCCAAAAGAACCAACAGATCTGTTTTGGAAGAAGTGCAGCCAGAGTGCTCCTTGGAGGCCAGGATGGCTAGGCTTCGTCTCTCATAGTTTGGACATATTGTCCGGAGGAAACAGTCGCTGGAGAAGGATGTCATGCTGGGTAAGGTGGAGGGTCAGAGAAAAAGAAGAAGACCCCTAACGAGATGGATTGGCCAGGTGGCATCATTGATGGCGTCAAGTGTGGCAGCGGTAGTGAGGTTGGCCCAGGATCGGATATTGTTTCGTTCTGCTGTGCATGGGGTCACTATGAGTCGGTTCTGACTCGATGGCACCTGACAACAACAACAACAACAACAACATGAGTGGTATTGACTGTTTCAACCAAATCTTCAATGTGGCCATCCTGTGTTACCTGCTTGAGTTTGAACCATATGTAATTGGTGATTGTTGACTATCTTTTACCTGAAAGCAATGTAATTTCAAATGGCTCAAGCTAGCACTATTTATGCAAGATAGTCTTCTTAGAGAAACTGAATTTAAGATTGGGTCTGTGGAAAAATGAAACATAGATTCGTGAATGAGCACTCAGTCACCTTCCAAAACACCTTCTGAGAAGCGCCTTACCTTGGCTTTCAGACTGGCACACAGCTCCTGCTGTTTCTTCCTGTCATTAGCCAAGGTACTCTCCATTCCATGAGTTGCACAGGCCTCAGCAAGAGTCATCACAGCCTTCTGTATAAAGTCTCTCCTGTTCTTATTCCAACTGGATAGCAAAATTTTTCGCTGCTCCCTAGCAAAGTGATATTGTTCACAATATTTCTCATGTTCGACCTGAAAAGAAAATAAGTAAGAAACATTTATCGTTATGACAGTGAGCATGTAGTTTAGAAGGCATTATAATAGCAAATGATGTGGAGAAATTGGGGATAAGCATCTTCAGTTTAGAAAATTCAGGGACCAGGAACCAGGTGCCAGTTCAGAGTTGTGAGTCTGTGACAAAATGGTGACTGAGGACAACGCACTTAACCTTGTAAGCACTTGGTTTGCTCCTATATGACTCAACTTGGTGGCTTTTAAAACAACTTTTGGGGTTGCAGGTGTGAGGCTGTGGGATAAAGCACTGGACCCTTGCAAGGTCAGTTTGAACCACAAGTGACCCTATACTGGGTCACTATGAGTCAGAAGTGACTATAAAACAACTTTTAATCCACAAAGGTGAACGATCCTCTGAGCAGAGAGGAGTATTTTCCCTACATGAACTTTCATAGATACCCCATATTTAAATCAGTTTTAGAATTCTAAAATTAATTATTTGAGTGCTTCATTAAGATAACATGCTAATAAACAGAAACTTGTGACAATAATCCTGAAAACATGGCTTTGCTATTAATTACTGAAGCTTTCAAGTGTCTGAATAAAACTTTCTGGTTTATACTTTAAATAATTACAGCAATGACCCTTAGCCTTTCCCTCTCACCCTCCACTCACTTTGGTAGCAATCATTCCATCAGGCAGTGATTCTCAACCAGGGGGCCTATCAGAGTTTGGCAGAACAATAAGAATAGGGGCAGCCTACGTAGTTTGAAAAATCTCTGCAGGTAATTCAGAAATGCACTTCATATAAAGATGTGCCCCCAAGAACATGAGAGTCACTGATCTAAAGAATTCTTTATTTTGACAATATAGAACCAGTCTCACAATTTGATACATTATTTAGCTTCCAAGTGATAAAAACAAAAGGCAAGTAGGCTAAGGTTGACCTAAAATAATGCTTTATGTTTCCTATGATTAGTTAGGTGCGCAGTGAAACATACTATGACCCCATTTAAACCAAATAAAAACTACTAAATCTGTTTTGTAAACTTTTAAACTTTGTTCTGTAAAGTCAAAGATATACTCAAGCGTTAAAAAACAAGGTATACAGCATGCTGAAACACTTAATAATCAATCCAACATAGGAAGTAAGGAGTCTTGGTGTGGTGCTGTGGGTTAATGAGATGGATTGCAAAGTTGGTTTGAGCCACAGGGTCGGTGGTTTAAGCTCACCAGCCACTCCTTGGAAAGTTTACGCAGGGTCCTTCTGGGGGCACTCAACAACAATAGAAAGTAAATGTAAAATCATTTTCACAATGTAAAAATATACCAAATTGCACTGTGGGTTAATGCAGTTGACTGCAAAGTCGGTTTGAACCACAAGATTGGCAGTTCAAGCTTACCAGCTGCTCCTTGGAAACACTACACAGGGTCGCTATGCGTAGGAACCAACCCGAATTTAACAATGAACAACAACAAAATGACAACTGGTAACAGAATTCAACAGGGAATTTAGAAAAAAAACTTATATCTTATTTAATAAATCAGCATTTTTTACAAATTCAGAATGAAAAATGTATTATGTAACATGTTTATTATATAACAGTTCCCGGTGTGGCACTGTAGGGTAAGCACCGGACTGCTAACTGTAAGGTCAGTTGACTAACTCTGCAGCACTTAACAACAACAATAATCTATTATAAAGTAAAGACAAAATTTAAAAATAATATTTGGGAGATTGTGGTGGGTGAGAGAGGAAAGGAGAGAATTGTTGTTGGGCTTTGCTTCAGTTTCCTTACTTATAAACTAAGAATAATAATAGTATCACTGTCATGCATTGCTATGTCTGTTAAATGAGTTTATACATGAATGATACACAGTTAACTTCTATACACGTTAATTTTATTTACTTGCTTAATTTAAAACAATTACCAATGCTGAGTATGTGATAATATTTTAAATATATTTCTGAAATAGGGTGGTAGCGGTTATGTGCTGTAGATTCGGTTCCAACTCATAGTCATAGCGACCCCTTGGAAACCCTGTACAGGGTCGCTATGGGTCGGAACCGACTTGACGGCACTTAACAACAACAACATAGGGTTTCTGAGGCTGTAAATCTTTACAGGAGCAGAAAGTCTCATTGTTCTCCCATGGAACAGCTCACCTTGAGGTTGGCAGCCCAGCTCGTAACCTCTATGCTACCAGAGTAGTTTAAAAATTGGAGTCCGGGTATGGTGCTTTAGGATAAGCACTGGACTGTTAACTGCACGTTTGACAATTCAAACCATCCAGCCACTTCTTGGAAAATGTATACAGGGTTGCTACGTCAGAACTGATTTGATGGCATTTAACAACAACAGTAATTTAAAAATTAATTGTTGACACAAAAAAAAATAATTAATTATTGACACAGAAACTAATATTTTTTCGCCTTGTGGTCTGGTTGACTAAAGAACTAGACAGTAAATCCCACTTACCTCTCAAAAAATTTTCACATACTCCTTTGAGTTCTGAGTTTGGGGCTGTTATATATCTCTAGCCCATCTATGAGAGTCAAGATGAATTGTTGCGGGGGGATTCAGTGCTTAGGGAGACTGTTGGTTTTCCAAGACTAGAGGGACTACTGTGGCAAACTCTGTAGATGGAGGCACAGCCATTCCACCTTCAGGCTAACAGAAGCTCTGAGGGTAGGCATCAGAGAGTGGACATCTGGGGGTCAAATACTAGACAGCAGCCTTGAGAGCCCCAGTAAGATCTCAGGGACTAGTTAAGTGCAAAAGGAGTAAATGTTGCCTCTGGCAACACCCCACTTCAATATAAACTGCATAAACTTGAAAAATGATCAGCACAAATCTGTAACTTTATTATTTCTATGTCCTAGGAAAAAATATTTTCAGAGAGCCATCTTTTAAAATATATGTTTTGTTCCTTTATAGTATAGATCATTAAAACAATAGAACTTGCCAGAATGCAGAGTCCAGCACTCACCAGGTCTTGCCTAGATTTATGGGGAAAATATCTTTGTAACATGTCCAGATACAGAGTCCTTCTGGCAAAGAGATTTCCTGGATACTGATCCAAAACAGCCTGGTAAATCCAATGGTCTTCTTCACTTAATTGGAAATTTCTGGAAGAAACGATAATGTCACAGAATATTATTAAATATTATGGGGCCTTAGGGAGCTCAAAATGTTCAAGCAATTTAAAATATTGTAAATAATAATAGCAAGCAATAACTACAATGTAAAATGAGAGTTTTGCCTCTCTTTGAGTATGTTTTAATACATTAGCTAAATTTGATGTGTGGAAGTTTCTAAATTTTAGTACAATGGTTTCTTTCAATCCTTTATTTGGTCTTGCCATGAGTTTGGGGCATAATTTGAATAGGTTCCACAATGTTGTTGTTGCTAAATGCCATCTAGTCAGTTCTGACTCATAGTAGCCCTGATGGTGAGTTTGAACTGCCAATCTCGCAGTTCACAGTGGCCTTGCAGTCTACTGCCTACCCTACAGCACCATACAAAGACAATAAGACAAAGTATTTTTAAGATTATTTATTCTGTCTTCCCTATGTTTAAAATAATGGCCAATGAATGAAATAAACAAAAATTACAAACTGAATTATTAAACACACAGATTTAAAAAAGAATTTTGCTTATTCACTCAGATAGAAGGAAAATATAGGCAGAGTTAAATGAACAACTACCTAAAGGAAAATAAACAGGAAGGCATTTATTTAAGGTTTAACGATAAAGGCAAGTCTACAATGATCTTTTATGTTATTCTCTCAACTTCTTGGTTTGTGAATGGTAAGAATGTAGATATTGGTAGTGAAAAGAGGACAAATGACGTCACATTTCATGTCACTAAAGAAATCATTTGTAAATACAACTGTTTCAAGTCACCTTCTCTACAATATGCCCATCATTTAAAAAGTCCTTCTTACTTTAGAGAATAATCACTTGCTTGGTTTGTGTTCTATATAAAGTAGGAGCAAAGCCCTAAGCAGAATGAAAAAGGTTGCAATATCAGCTTGAACTCTAAATGGAATTAATCTGCTCTGTTTGTATCCCAAGTTTATTTGCATAATATTATTCCTGTTTAATAAATTAGAATAATCAAAAACCAATGCAATCAGAGGGAATATTATTAGCAACAAATATTTCTTTGCTCCAAGATGAAAATTTTCTATTGTTTATTTCTGCTCTATCAGTGGTCTTTGACTTTAAAGTTAATTGACAGATTCAAAGACTTTTCATACTATGTCTTCTATGCCCCTAAAAAAATACAGACAATTGAAAAAAGAATGAAACACCTTTTAAATCAATGATACGAATGGAAACTCCACTGTCCTCTTACAAGGTTACCTAGTTTCTGTAAAGCACTTCATTATTCTCGTTGTTGTTGTTGTGAAGTGCCATAGAGTCAATTCTGACCCATAGTGACCCTGTATAGAGTTTCTGAGGAGCCAATGATGAGTTTGAACCGCCGACCTTGCAGTTTAAACGGCTTTGCAGTCTGGTGTATTAACCGACAGTACCACACCAGTACTCTGTAAAGTAGCTAGAAAAGAAAATCCTCTCTACCAACTCTATAATGGGAGGCAAAAGAGGGCTGGGGATGGTCTACCCAGGTAGAAGTATACTCTATAGTTCTTGAGTATGACCTAATTAACAACTGCAGAGAAAGAAGAATTTGAAATATGCTCATTCATTTAATACACTAAGGGCTTTGGTCCTGTCTGAATCAATTATGAATTTATCAACAGTCCAAGGCTTCCGTGACTAAAGCATTAAAAATAGGGAAGTAAGCAGGGAGGAAGAACTTGCCTGAGTATACTTGGCATTTAAATTGCCCTCAAATCTTCATGCACAATTTATCAGGTCCTCTCTCAAGGAATGTATTTTCATTCATGGCAACATGAAAACCTTTTAATAGCAAAGTTAGCCACATAAACTCTTCATTATTACACGGCAAACAACAAAAAGAGACCTGAAGTCCATGTTCTCATTAATGCTTCTAAACTGTTTCTACAGGGAGTGTGGGTGTATGTTCAAAAGTGGTTAAGTAACAAAATCTAAGCCCACCAAGTTTTCCATTCATTTACATTAAGCTATTCGTCTAGATAAGGAGCTCTGGTAGCGTAGTGGTTACGAATCGGGCTGCGAACCTTAAGGACAGCAGTTCGAAACTACCAGCTGCTCCGCGGGAGAAAAATCAGGCTTTCTACTCCCGTAAAGATTTACACCCTCGGAAACCCTGTACAGGGTCGCTATGGGTCGGAACCGACTCGACGGCACTTAACAACAACAACATTCGTCTAGATAAGGTGCTCTCGTCACATGGTGGTTACAAGTTGGACTGTTAAACTCAAGGTCAGCAGTTCGAAACTACCAGCTATTGCACGGGAGTAAGATAAGGTTTTCTGCTCCTGTAAAGATTTACAGCCTACACAGGATTGCAGAGTCTGAACCTACTACTAAATTGCACATAATTAACTCACCAGCCAGTCATCTATATAACATATGCATTTGGTGCCCACCCAAATCGCCGTTAGAAGTCGTGGTGTGGCACTATAGGATAAGCATTGGACTTCAAGGTCAGTTTGAGCCACAAAGCCAGTGGTTTGTGGCTCACCAGCCGCTCCTCAGAAACACTATACAGGGTCGCTATGAGTCAGAAACAACTAGACTGCTTTTAACAACTATAACAGCAAGATCACCTTTACTAGTTAAAGTGTCTATCACTAAGGTGCTGCTAGTTTTGGCTAAGTAACTCAGTTATCTTCTCTGGAAAATTATCCTGGGTCAAATGGGAATGGTTTCAAAGGCCAATTACAACCAATGACTAGTGGGCATACAGGTACAGAATGCCAGTCCACTTGTCTCAACATGGGATAAATTCTGTGGAACTATTCATGCTCCACAGCCTCCCTTGGGATCCGACTTCAGCCAGGGTCCATTGAGAACTTGTCCTTGTTTAGCCATTCCCATCTGTCCTATCCCATTTCCCTCACTCCCCTTCTCCCAGGTGCATCTCCCAATAAATCATCTGTTCCAGCAACCCCCATCTCAGCTTTGCTTCTATAGAACTCAACCAAAGATAAACTACAAGCAATTTTACCCAAAGTTTTCAAAAATAGTTTAAAGCCTTTGATAAATGAAGAATTACTTCAAAGCTAATTGCTTTGATGATTGTAACTGTCCTTGAAGAGAAAGTGCAAATAGCAAACATTTACCAAAATGCTTTTCACATAAAAGCACTCATTTAGCAGTTTACATTGCTATAAATAAATATAGCAGCAGAAGAATTTGTGACACTCAGTACATTTTTATACATGGTGTGAATGTATTAATTAGGTGCCATTTTAATGATAACATTAAAACCACTTAAACATATAAAATAATAATACAACATTAAAACCAGATATTTCAGAATAAGTATACCATGAAGAGTGATCACAGACATTTTTTGTCCTTCTTGTTGCTCTTAGAAGCTTCATATCCCAACAGCTTTTTTTCAATTACCACAATTACACAAATCGTATATCACTTTTCTAGTACATGCAGAATAAAAATGAAAAACATACTTAGAAGAAATGATACATTAATTTTTATTATTATTATTTTATGAGTATTTATAGCAGTTTAACTGCAGATTTAAACCTCGAGACAAATATTCACATTGGAAACACTAATGGAACAATCGTACATCTCCATTAGAAATGTTGCTTATGAGGAACAAAACTCCCACCACTGTATGTTATATGAGTCTTTGGGATAGTAAACATCTATGAGGAATCGTCAAAATGACCAAGTAGCCATTTCTTAGAAATATAGCTTTTAAACCTCTAAAAGAAAATCAAATTCCATATGTCTGTATTTCTAACTTCAAATGTGGGCATTTGTCCTTACTACTCAAATCTTTATCTTTTCATTGTACAGAAAAAAATCTATATAGCAGAACTGAAAATAAGGTTCGTTTTTACTTTCCAGAGTTCTGTTTTAACCAAAACCAAACCAAAGCAGTTGCTATTGAGTTGACTGTGAGCCATGGCAAGCCCATGTGTCAGAGTAGAAGTATACTCCAGAGAGATTTCAAAGGCCTCTGGGTGGATTCAAACCTTCAAACTTTCAGTACTAGCTAAATTACACAGATATTTTTAAATATTCTTATCCCTAACCTACTTTCTGAATTAAAAGGAATAATCACTCTAAAAAAATTTTTTTTAATAAAAATTATCTTACATTTTGGCAGATCTCTATAGTTTCTTTCTTTTTTTATTGTAATTCAGAAAATGAAGATGATAGGGCTGTGAGACTACATGGCCAAGGCCAATTGTCTCCTTAATTCTACCTATTAGAGTAATTTCAAATATTCCAAATAGACTTGTAACTAACTTAGCTACCAGCTTTCATTGTAGTCCTATTTAAACCATCTCCCTAGGGTGCTGGTTCCATATCATCAAAATACATTTGGTGAGTGGGAGCCAAGGATGGCAAACAAAATATATAAGGGTCCTTTAACAGTGAAAACAAGTTTATGAAAGTAAATATTGTGTTTCCAAATTGGCTGAAAGCTGTTATGTATTTTACCAACATGAAGGGACCATCTTAGTGATCAAGTGCCACCCATAGAACAGAAACACCACAAGTGGATAGCTTTAACAATCGGACCTTTATTTTCTCACACTTTAGGCAGCTGAAAATCTGAATTCAGGATGCCAGCTCCAGGAAGAAGCTTCCTCTCTCTGTTGACTCTGGAGAAAGGTCCTTGTCTTCATGTGGCTTGGCATCTCTCTTCCCCATCTCTGCTTGCTAGTTTACATTTAATCTCTTATATCTCAAAAGAGACTGACTCATAAAACAGCCTACTAATCCTGCCACATTAACATAACAAAGACAAACCAGCCGCAAATGGGTTATAACCACAGGCACAGAGGTTGGGATTTACAACACCTATTTTAGCTGGGGAAACAATTCAGTTCATAACAGGAACTTTCCAGGCAACACCATAATTAGTGCCTCTTGAAGTTAGCTGATGCAACTATCAGCATCTGACAACTGCCTAGAGATTGGCAAATGGCCATGTGAATCTGGCCTGAAGAAAAACTCTTATCTCTAAAAG